CATGGATGTGATGTGCTGCACCGCGTCCATCATGAGTCTGTGCGTAATCAGCATCGACAGGTGAGATGGAGTTTTCTTAACCTTTCATTCATACAATCACAACATCTAAAGGTTCTTTTTTTAATTTAGACTAGTTTAGAATACACCAGGGCAGATATACAACTTTATTTATCCAGCTTTTACGCACGGAACGAGACTCTCCACATGCAGATCTTTATCAGAAATAGACACATTTTGGCCACATGTTATTCCTATATTCTTCCAAAATGGCCTTTACCCAGTCTAATAAAATATGTCGTCGAGACACTGTAATGTTGGGCTTGTGAGGAGGATCTCAAGGGTTTAGGGGGAGACAAAGGGGGCTGCAGAGGGATCAGACATGTGACCTTTCTGATGGTTTCTCTTTCCTTGATTCCTTTAAGAAAGAGTACAAAACAGAACAAATGAAGCAAAGAAAGCCATAAAGCAGATTCAGGCAGCAGAAGAATAGATTCTCACTTACAGTATTATCCTACAGAACAGCTGACAGAGAAGAGAGAACATCTGATCCTTTACAGCAAACACTATATGATCTTTTTAGGTTTGTACTAACACTGTAAACCTGCTCAGGTAATCCACAATCTTTAGAAATGTATCTGTAAGGGAATTCACTTTTTTTGTATCCTGATTTCCCCGTTATAATCCGTGACTCTCCAGACCTGCTCTTTACTTAAAGGGGACCTATCATGCAAAATGCACTTTTGATGTCTTTTATACATGAATATGTGTCCCCGGTGTCAGGGAAAATAAAACCCTCTCTCTTTTCCTCCGTACCCAAATCTCTAAAAACGGGGGCTACAACGGAGCTGATCCAGATTTGCGTCGATATGACGTAATATCTGAAATGTGGACCCACCGGCCCTATCAGAAAAGTTGCATGTGTGTGAAGAAGCAGGAAATAAAAAGGAACTCACCTTGTGGTATAACCGGCAAGAGAGAAAGCCTTTGAGCTCCATACTGTTTCAGAGATAATCCTTGATAATCCATGATATGGCGTTTCATCGCAGCAGCATTTAGTTTAGACGGTAGCTGCCGGGTCCCGCATGAGCTCAGACCCCTCCTTTTTTTCATCAATTCTTTTTTTTTTTAAAGCTTTATACCCAAAATCAGCACTTTTGAAACAGGAAGTGAAATAGAGGGATATGAGGCATGGCTAGAATGGGTGATCTGTTTGGTATTTTGAGCAAAACACTTCATAGACATGTTTTTTATATATTTGTATATATATCTGAGACCTATGCTATTGCCTAAAAATAGCATGATAGGTGACCTTTAACACTGACAGGTTTCCTGGTCACATGATCATTCTCAGCATCTCTGGACTTCCTGTTTCCAGCCGGTCTGCATATGGTCACCACAGATTGGTGTTGACTCAAAGGCACCTTGTTGAATCAGAATACCTTTATTAGTATCACAGCAGTTAACTTTAAGGCGAGACACTACAGGTGAATAGGGTCATTTTTTTAACTTAAAGATATTAGCTAGACATTTCTCCAGTTAATTACTTACATTAAGGCAATTGTTTTTTGTATTACAAGTTTTATGAAATAGCATGTTTAAATATGCAAATGAGTTTTATACATTTCAGGAACACAAACCTGAACATTGGATAAAGTCAGATTCCAAATTCTTGTTTCATTTTGTAGTTATATTAGAGTCTAAAGTTTTTATAGAATGGATTTTGGATATCTCTTTTTATCAGAAAATACTGTCAACAGCCGTAAAATATCAATTTTCGCCATGTTTTTAGGTTAAAAATCTGTATTTCTAATGCAGCCTCTCCTGAGATCCTTTAACCGCACCTTATCTTTGCACTTTTAGCTGCAACTGTTATTTTATCGCTTTTATGAATTGTCGTTTTTTGTTTTTGTTTGTGTGTTTGTTTTATTTTAAATTAGTATGTGTTAAATGCCGACGTGAAGCACTTTGAATATATACGAATAAACTAACCTTGAACCTTGAAATATAGAGAAGTGTTGGGAAAATACTGAATGTCCTCTTCCAACATGAGAGTGACATGATAACAAAGGTATCCCAACTGTAGCTGTGAACATGACAGGATGTATGATTACCTAGAAGAGCATCAGGACTGTTTGAGGCATATGATAGCTATGTGATTAACATGATGATTCAGCCTCTATGGAGATAGACATATGACAAGCATGCTCATTTCTGACGTGGAGCTAATCTGAAGTAAACATTGAATACTGCTTTCTATTCCTCCATCTTGTGACTGTGTAACTCCCTCTCTTGGATATCAGCATGTGAAGGACACTGTTCAGCAACTAGTTGATGCTCTGTATGTGATGACTACTTCCATTCTGGAGAGGATCACAGATACATGGATCCTGAGATTGAAGCTCAAGACGGGGACTAGGGATTATTAACATTTTTGAGGTTTTGAGAAAAAGTCAGAATTTTTGAGAAAAAAATCAGGATGTTGAGAAAAAAGTCAGAATTCTTGGATTTTGAGAGAAAAATCAGGATTTTGAGAAAAAAGACAATTTTGAGGAAAAAGTCATATTTTTTTGTAAAAGTCAGAATTTTGAGGAAAAAGTCAGAATTTTCAGAAAAAGTCAACATTTTTAGAAAAAGTCAGAATTTTCAGAAAAAGTCAGAATTTTCCGATTTAGAGAAAAACTCAGTATTTTGTTCATGACAGGATGTATGATAACCTACAAGAACCAGTAATCCTCCATCTTGTGACTGTGTAACTCCCTCTCTTGGATATCAGCATGTGAAGGACACTGTTCAGGAACTAGTTGATGCTCTGTATGTGATGACTACTTCCATTCTGGAGAGGATCACAAATACATGGATCCTGAGATTGAAGCTCAAGCCGGAGACCAGGGAGATGTTTCTAACAGAAAGCAAAGCACACATCACACCAACACCTTTCTCTCTCTCCTCAGGTATCTTGGCATCACCAAACCTCTCACGTATCCAGTGCGTCAGACCGGCTGCTGCATGGCTAAGATGGTTCTGTCTGTGTGGCTGCTCTCCGCCTCCATCACCCTCCCTCCTCTCTTCGGCTGGGCGCAGAACGTAAACGACGGACGGGTCTGTCTCATCAGTCAGGACTTCGGATACACCGTGTACTCCACGGCGGTGGCGTTCTACATCCCAATGTCCGTCATGTTGATCATGTACAACCGGATCTACAGAGCGGCCAAACTCAGCGCCGCCAAACACACCATCACCTGTTTCCCCAGGCAGAGGTGAGAGGAGTGGAGCACGAACACTTAAGACAAGATAAGATGAGTTAAGATATATATATAGGTATCTCTGTATGTATTATTCACAGAGGAGGGAAGTAGTGGAGTACAAATACTTTGTTACTGTACTTAAGTACATTTTTCTGGTATCAGTACTTTACTCCACTACTTATCTTTATGACGACTTTTTACTTTGACTTCTTACTTTTTGAACACAAATACCTGTACTTTCTACTTCTTACATGTTGAACCCAAATACCTGTACTTTCTACTTCTTACATGTTGAACACAAATACCTGTACTTTCTACTTCTTACATGTTGAACACAAATACCTGTACTTTCTACTTCTTACATGTTGAACACAAATACCTGTACTTTCTACTTCTTACATGTTGAACACAAATACCTGTACTTTCTACTTCTCACATTTTGAACACAAATACCTGTACTTTCTACTTCTTACATGTTGAAACCAAATACCTGTACTTTCTACTTCTTACATTTTGAACACAAATACCTGTACTTTCTACTTCTTACATGTTGAAACCAAATACCTGTACTTTCTACTTCTTACATGTTGAACACAAATACCTGTACTTTCTACTTCTTACATTTTGAACTCAAATACCTGTACTTTCTACTTCTTACATGTTGAACACAAATACCTGTACTTTCTACTTCTTACATTTTGAACACAAATACCTGTACTTTCTACTTCTTACATGTTGAACACAAATACCTGTACTTTCTACTTCTCACATTTTCCAAACAGGCTGGTTCCTTTAGTTTGAATGTGTGTTTGGTGGCGTGATCATTATTCTTTAGAGTCATTGCGTGCCTATTGATTTGAACACGATCCGTGTATCCATCATTTCCTGGTCTTCTCTAAAGAAGAGGGACCAATGAAAACGTTGTCATGTTGCCGTTGTTCAGCATGGAAACATTCATTAGCTAACAATGACATTATTGTTCTATTAATATAAAGGGAGGTCAGGTACTCTTTAAAACAGCTGCTAGTTATGGGTACTTTTTACTGAAGTACATTTCAAAGCCTCTTTACTTTTACTTGAGTAAAGAAGTTTAATCAGTACTTCTACTTTCACCAGAGTATTTTTAAACACGAGTATCTGTACTTCTACTTGAGGAAAGGATGTGTACTTTTGCCCTCTCTCTCCCCAGGGAGGCTATCCGAGGGGGGAAACGAGGAAAAGACGGTCACCGCGTGGATGAGGAAACGGGAAGCGTTGAAGCGACGGAGAACGTGGACGAAGAAGAAGAAGAGAGTTTTGATTGTGTGGCGGCGGCGTTGAAGCTACAACGAGAAGTGGAAGAAGAGTGTAGCACACGGGTTTCTCGCCTCTTAAAAACTGGGGATCGCAGAAAGAGGAAAAACCAGTCCATCTTTAAGCGTGAGCAGAAAGCGGCGGCCACGTTGGGAATCGTTGTCGGCGCTTTCACTTTCTGCTGGCTTCCTTTCTTCTTGGTTTCCACCGCGCGGCCTTTTATCTGCGGCGTGGAGTGCAGCTGCGTCCCTCTGTGGCTGGAGAGGACGCTGCTGTGGCTCGGATACGCAAACTCCCTCATCAACCCCTTCATTTACGCCTTCTTCAACCGCGACCTGAGGACCACCTACAGCAACCTCCTGCGGTGCCGCTACAGGAACATCAACAGGAAGCTGTCGGCCGCCGGCATGCACGAGGCTCTGAAGCTGGTGGAGAAACCGGAGGGCGACGCGTGAAGCTGCCGTGAAGAAAACAATAACATAATACAAAAAAATCAAGATTGAAGCTGCCGATCAGACGCTGCCAGGACGGTTCATTCAAACCACAGAAACTCTTGAAATGAACTTGTCAAAGAGATGTCTTTCTGGTTCTTTAATCATGTGCAAAAGAAGCAAACAACATGAAGAGCAATGTGTCCCCAGCCGAGTGCCACTACTCAGACTGAAGAGAGAGCTTTTATACACTTTCAATGAATACATAGATAGAGTCCTTTATTGTCATTATACAGGTACAATGAGATGAGTAGCGCTACTTAAGGTGCCATCAACACATGCTTAGTCACGAGATAACTGACCCCTGATCGGAGTTCAATAGATCTACTGTCTTCACATGTAAGGCTTACAGAATTGTATTATTTATATGTTAAATAACATCATAGCTTTCAATTCTCTGATAATCATGGTTTCCATTACAAGCGTGAAGCAGCCAATCAGACCCCAACAATTACGGTTCATTCAAACCACATTTGTGCGATGATTGCTGCGGGGGGAGATGAGGGATTTCATATTAGATTTATTCAGCTTTTGCGCATCCAACGAGACTCCACATGCAGAGTGGTCAGAAAAAGACACACTCTCACATCTCATCCCCTTTTTCACACCATAGTCTTGCAAATATAGCCATCGCCCATTCAAATAAGATATTTAGAAAACGTGGGGTTTGTGTGGAGGCTCCCTGTGGTTTAGGGTTCTTCTTAAGGGCACTTTTTAAAATGGTGGTCACTTCTGCATCGCATCCATCATGTGCGTTATCAGCATCGACAGGTGAGATAGAGTTATTATAATGAACAGAGAAAAGCCTTTTATTCCTAACGATATGTCACAACATTGACACTTCTTATCATAGTGAGACAAGCCAGATAATACACAAGGGTACATATCATACGTTACATATTTTTAATTGATGATTTATCTAACTTTTACGCATGGAACGAGACTCTCCACGTGTACATTTAGTCAGAAATAGACACATTTTGGCAACTTCTTACTCCTATATTCTTCCAAAATTGCCTTTACCCAGTCTAATAAAATATGTCGTCGAGACACGGTAACGTTGGGTTTGTGAGGAGGATCTCTGAGTCTTCATTAAGTGAGACTGCTAGATAAAATAATGATATTCACTTGGTTAATTGGAGGGAAGAAACCACACAAAGTGTATCCAGAGAAAAGTAGGGAACACACACCGTTACTATCATTGTGTCATCTTTGTTTGGCAAATACTGTATATAAAAATGTATTTATATTACACTTTTCATACACTTCAAAAGTTTGGTAAAGTAATTTATTGGTGCCATCTGTCTACGGGCTTTACACGATGTATAATTAAGAGAATATTAGAGATGAGGGGTTGCATGGATGAAGGAAGGATGTTTTTCTTAAACCAGTGGCTGCTGCAGAACATCTCTGTGCAACATGTGACGGCTGCACGTCCACAGCTGCCACCAAGCTGAAGCTCTTTGCATATATTGTTGGATCTAAACTCTGACTTTGTACTCTTTGACCACCACGAGAGGAAGCTCTCCATCTCACTGGACAGTGTCTTCTTCTCTTTCCAGATTAAGCCAAGGAAACATTTATAAACAAAAAGGAGAAGGCTTGAACACCAAATGTATTCTCTTATCATCACTGTTTCACGATTAACAAGTGGACACTAAATGATATGTAACGTCTGTACACGAGTCAGCAGCCACGCCAAGACGTCCCTGGGATATAAGTTCATGTGTCTTTTGTCAATGTGTTGAATGTGCCAAAACCTTTCTTTCTTACTACTTAAGTCATGCACTTGTTGAATCAGATGTTTTGTAATCAGGCGGCTCACAATATGAACACATTTTAAGGACGAGAGGTCAGAGATGTTTGGAGAACGTCTTCAGCGTGCCTGTGCCTTTTACTGCGTTATCGTTAAAGGTTTACTTGCAGCACACAAAGGTCTCTTTTCCAGCTATGCACCTCACGTGTTAGACTTGACGCCATGTGTGAGAGACACTTTGAATGACCTACTTTTAAGCTGGTTGTATATTTCATCACGCACAACATCTCGTGAAACCGGAACTATCCAGAAAAAAGAAGCTAATGGAGGCGATGATCTTTAAAGGACACGATCCCAATCCATATCCATCAAGTTGTTATCAGTTGAAGTGTTGCTTATCTCTGAAGAATGTCAGAACATATGTGTAAACTGAGATGATCTGAGACACTAATGGGATGTCTACAAATGAGTTTTCTTGTCTGAACCCAAAGATAATCAATCTTCAGCGAAAGAAAGAAGACAGATGTAGTAAATCGTTGCACTTGAGAAGCTGCTTACTGTAAATCTGTGGGCGTTTTTATTTGATGAATGACTTGAAGACCCGAAGAAGTGGTGACAAATCTTTTTCTAAAACATTCATGAGATAAAAACAACTCATTTAATAAACTTGTACCATTACAAAATCTAAAGTTCAAATGTTAAAGGTCTCCATTTTCTTCTCTATGATGATAAGTGAATACGTAATACTACAAATACAACGGCTCAATCTGCATCGTGTTATTGGACTGAATGGACTTGTGTCAAGAATCTGCTTCCTCAGGAGTGTGTGAGGGGAGCAGTGGGCGGGCAAATGAAATACCCCAACATAACTGTCATGCACCAAAAGTATGCTGCCTGTGTACGGTCTTTACACGATGTATAATGAAGAGAATCTTATAGATATCATATTAAAGTGACAAAAGTACAGGAAGGAAAAAGTCACAATTACTGTTCTTTGCTTTTTCAGCACCATGGACAGCGTCACCGTTTATCTAAACACAACAACTGTGGACTTAAAGAGGCCCTATTCTGCTTTATGGGGTTTTCCCTCTTTAAAGTAGAGACACTACATACTGATATACACCTGAACATCAGCAGGAGAGGACTCTTTAAAGTAGAGACACTACATACTGATATACACCTGAACATCATCAGGAGAGGACTCTTTAAAGTAGAGACACTACATACTGATATACACCTGAACATCAGCAGGAGAGACTCTTTAAAGTAGAGACACTACATACTGATATACACCTTGAACATCAGCAGGAGAGGACTCTTTAAAGTAGAGACACTACATACTGACATACACCTGAACATCAGCAGGAGAGGACTCTTTAAAGTAGAGACACTACATACTGATATACACCTGAACTCAGCAGGAGAGGACTCTTTAAAGTAGAGACACTACATACTGATATACACCTGAACATCAGCAGTGAGAGGACTCTTTAAAGTAGAGACACCACATACTGATATACACTGAACATCAGCAGGAGAGGACTCTTTAAAGTAGAGACACTACATACTGATATACACCGAACATCAGCAGTAAGGACTCTTTAAAGTAGAGACACTACATACTGATATACACCTGAACATCAGCAGGAGAGGACTCTTTAAAGTAGAGACACTACATACTGATATACACCTGAACATCAGCAGGAGAGGACTCTTTAAAAGTTAGAGACACTACATACTGATATACACCTGAAACATCAACAGGAGAGGACTCTTTGAAAGTAGAGAACACTACATAACTGATATACACCTGAACATCAGCAGGAGAGGAATCTTTAAAGTAAGACAACTACATACTGATATACAACCTGAACGAATCAGCAGGAGAGGACTACTTTAAAGTAGAGAACACTACATACTGATATACAACCGTGAACATCAAGCAGGAGAGGGAACTCTTAAAGTAAGAGACGACTACATACATGATATAAACCTGAACATCAGGCAGGAGAGGACTCTTTAAAGTAGAGACACTAAATCTGATTATAACACCTGAACATCAGCAGGAGAGGACTCTTTAAAGTAGAGACACTACATACTGATATACATCTGAACATCAGCAGAATAGGACCCCTTTAAAATCAAACATACAAAAAAATGACAATTAAACTCAAAGGTGGATTTTCTTCTTGTAAACTGTGACAGATCGACCCTGACATCATAAAGAGTCAGACAGCAACATAGTTAAATATAAAATGAAGTATATTACTCTGTATCAAATCAGACTACTGGTGGTTTAAAAAAAGGGGATTACTTTCTACATTTTATAATGAAGATCAATCACTTATCGGTTGACGCCTGAATCTCCTGTTTGTTTGTCATTCAGGATACTTCCTTTGTTTCAAGTCTTTCTTTTATTGAAATGCAGTCGGTGGACTCCTGATTTATGAAACGCAATCTCCTGTGATTACTTTTAATTCATGTGTTAAACTAAAACAGCATTTGTAAAAAAGTATTTTCTGTATAGCTTTAGGGCACATCTTTGATCCTAAATATCTTGGTTTCTTCTAAGGTCACATTGTTCTGTTGTCTCACAGAACACACTGCAGTCAAAAACATTTGCAAATACTTATTTTGTCTATTTATTTGCAATGCATTTGATACTGAGGTAATCCAAGAGTAACAGGAAGTAAACTTTAAATAAAATATTTGCTGTCATATTTCTGCACGACTTCGACCTCGTCTGTGAAGAATTAGATCACTTTGTGGGCGATGATCTGAAAAGGAGGAGAATCACTGAAGTGAACTCGCTCTGGGCTCGCTGCCATTTCCTGTCTGATAATGTTCTACTGTGGACACACACACACACACACACACACACACACACACAACACACACACACACACACACACACACACACACACACACACACACACACACACACACACACACACACACACACACACACACACACACACACACGCACACACACACACACACACACACACACACACACACACACACACACACACACACACACACACACACACACACACACACACGCACGTTTTGCATCGGAAATGAATAACGTATGCACAAAATATAATTGCCCTTACGAAGACAGGATATGGGCAGAAACAACGGAGCGTTAGAACAATTAATGAATGACATCTGACAGTTTGAATTAAGAGAAGAGCAGACTGATCAGTGTTACT